GATCGTCAACAATTGCCCGCTAACCCGGCTGAATGGTTGTCCAGACAACTCAAATGCCTTTGGAATCCGGTACCTTTACTAAGATCTCACCCAATTAGCATGTGTGAGAATTTTAACAGGTTGATACTTTGAGCAGCATTTGACCTTTATCGTTTGGAAGCTATCGTGTGGGGAATCTGTGCAACCGCTGCAGCTATTACATCATCAGGATAGCAGTTTATGACTTATTGGTGAACTTTAGGACTCCACTTGGTCAGTACCAAGTGGAATTTCCGGATGTGGATCGACGTACGGTACTGGTTATGGTTAAGATACCATTAAATGAGATATGACACGGTTTATGAACTTTTCGAAACGATTAGAGAAAAGAAAATGGTGGCATTGCCCAATTAGTATACAGTTTGTGTCTGAGTTTCTACCTCCGAAATATTGATCCGACACATGTACTTGCTAAAGCAGGTGACATTTTACTCCTGGAACCGGGATCGGCGTTGAGTTTCCAATAGTCGATCGTCTGTTGATCAACCATGTAATGAGAGTAATTTTCCATGTTTTCCTGTTTGACGCAACTGATGACTCATGCTTCTTTTACCACGAAATTTTTTTACTGAATGATGCTAATCATAGCCTCTGAATTGCAGATGCCTTCAAGAACAGATCGGACACAGGTTCAGCTCAAAATCCGGCGATATATGCATGTTCATTTTGGGACAGTCTTAGCCCGCGTGCTTCCCTTGGGAATCACGATGTTTCACGGCAGAAAAACGTCGAGCAATGTGAAGAGGAAATACGAATGAGCTGAAGAAATAAGATGAAGTAATAATCATTGCAATCGTACCACCGAGATAAAAAATGTGTAATTTTTCAAGGAAATTTTTATTCTCTTCTACGAACTGAATATGCAGATTTCAGGAAGGAGGGGGCGGGCGGCGGCGGAGAACGACACTGATCAAAGGTTGCCGGAGAGGACATAGACTATTAGACAAGATAGGTAACTGTGGCGGGATTTAAACACACAACGACGGGCAACTGTAATTGTGGTCTTTACCTTTAGATCTCCATTCGCCATCTATAAATTTCCGCCCTTAATAGATAACGTCCAGATGCTGTCAATTTGGCGGCGATCCACGTTCTTTTGTGAATTATCGGAACACATGTTACGAAAGCGTCAGATGCTTTTGGCTCCAAAAGTGAAATCAATGTCAGAAAGAGTATTGATCACATCACAAGGAGGCGAAGTTGTTACAAACTGGGTGGTGGTGGTGCAGTTGTTTAGTCGCTGTCACCGGTGTGGTTTGGACCCTGCGGTCCGAGGTTCGAGCCTCCCCACTGCCACCGAACTCAGGTGGTCGACTGCTTTTCTGTCGTCCGGTTCAGTACCACACCTGACCTATGGGGGCCTTATATGCTTCTCCACTCCAAGTCCCGGGTCTTTGGTTACCGGTTTCCATCAATGAACAGCAGTTCTTCATGACTTTGCGATCCGCCCCGTCTGCCGTTCATCACGCACTGGTGTGTAATAAAAAAATACTGTATTGTATCTGTGCTTCATAGGCTGATGGGAATCTACGACTGAAGCGCGGGGACGGGGCTTTATACATTTGATCCAGCTTCTGGAGCGAGGGCCAAATCCACAGCAGTCCATATTGTGATTACTTACGAAGAGAAATTGAAACTGGTTAATGGGTTGCCAGTGGTACTTATCTCATTTTAAACAGCTTTTTCAATGAAAGGAACCATATTCCAGAACGGGACGGTACTATGTCAGATAACATCCAGGGAAAACAGCCGGGTTCGGGATTGAAGCGGTGGCGGTGATTAAAGCAGAACAGATAATACCGTTTGATCGGAATTCTAGATCTTGTCTTTTATTTTGATGACCTACAGTTGACTAATGAATATCATTGGTTTGCGTATGAAATAAAGTGGATGTGTTTTGGGGAATATAATAATAATTCATCAAGTTTATTCTGACCCAAAGTATCCAACAGCAACTGAAAGCACCATGAAGCTGCTTTATCTGCGCCTGATTCCACTGTGAAACAAGACAAACACGGTACCCAAAGCGTTTTACTATATGTGCTAACCAAGTTCAAATTCCACTACGTCATCAGCTTGGTTTCCGGTAATTAATCGACTGGCGCAATAGCATAACTTTGGTAGGTGGCGCACCCTAAAGAACGAAACGTGCTGGAAGCTTGACCCAACCTATTACGTCATAAATGCAATGTGACATGTGATCTGATGGCACTTGCAGTGTGGCAAAATTGAGCGTGGTAGCAACGAGTTCTGATCTTTCGATGAAGCATAACTAACTATGGTAGAGTATAGACACTCTAATTGCGAAATCGTACAATCTCCTTGCCGTTCCCGATTTCCTCCTTTTCTTGCAAATAAATAAGTACGAAGCGAGTTAAACCGTTCGTCTGTTTGCAGTGGGTACACATAGCCACGTAGCCGGTCGGTGAGCAAGCAGGACATCAGCACGGAAGCGGTTCTTAAAACAAACGCAGGCTTGACGTGATTGCCACACGATAGTAATGGAGAACTTGATTCCATTATCGGTGAAGCCTGAACTGAGAAGCTGGGAAGCACCTGGTCGGGCCTCATCAGCAGTGCGCGAATCCATTAACCCAACTGGTGATCGAACCCGGGACTTTACTGGCAGAACGCCTGCCTACTATCCACTCGACCGCCAAGAAGCCGGCCAGACCGTTTTTCTCTTTTCCTTAAACCCTTTTAAAAGCTTATTACGGACACCACACCTCGCTCATCTCAGTACTGGCCTCCCCGGATTCAAGACAGTAAATACATCGGCGGGCTGAAATGTTGGCATAGTTGCGTCATTGCAAAATAGTGTTTTCATCAGAGTGGATCTCAATTTCCGGTAACGGAGGTGGCATATTCGACTTCCTTTTCCTTACTCATCAAATCCCTGCCTCTCTGTGGCTGAATGAGGTCTAGTTTTTGACCCCGGGAAAATCTTTCATAGAGTGCACCTCACCAAGCATTGACTGGTGAGTTCCGAATACTTGCCTTCTAGTGGTTAGAGAACTCGATAAGAATTCCAGAAGGCCTAAATAAACTTATAAGCCGCGGATAATGGCTCATTCTGGGGCAGTTGGAAAAACCTTGATTTCATGCATCTCTAAAACAGGCAATTAAACTGGCTTTAGGCCAGCTTAGTCAAACAGATCGCTTACTTCATCAGGCGATAGGGTGTATTTGGTGCCCCTGCATTCGAGTGCTAAAGGCATGTAGCTTTGCCCTGACAACGGTACTTAATGGAGTGTGGTTTACATTCATAGATACATGATTTGCTGGTAAGTCAGTGGACAGCAGAATGTGCCGACTGCGAATCCCGGAAGAAAATTATCTGTTATTACTTGGGCAGAATTGTGTTTTCATGAGAGATAGAAGAAGTATCACGATCACAGGATGAGTTGAATACAACTATTTCGTGGTAATCTCATCAACTGTGTACGAGCACATTTCATATCACGTTTGGTTAAAAGAGTGACAGTTTCGGGGACAGGCGCTCACACATGAGGGTCAGAGAAATCAATCAATATGAAGGCCAAAGGTCACTAATTCGAACTGGATCGGGCATAGAGGCAGGAACTGTAATCACTGCAGGAGAGGGGAACGACAGTGACACCTACCATGGCAGCCCAAGACTGACCACAAATCCAGTCTTTTTACACAAATCGAGCTTGTAGCATGATCAAGAAGCTTCTTGCCTTCATGGAAATGCCGAAGGGAACTGGTTTCGTGAGAACTGTGTTCACCGGTGGATTTCATTTTTACGTAGATATATCGATCACGAACTGTTTGACTTCGACACATACATACAAGCTCGACTCACTCTGGTTTGAAATTTCTCAGGTTACATGCCTCCCGCATGCAATGAGAAGTCCATCAATCTCACACGGAGCTGAACGGACGCACGACGAACTATTTGCAAGTATCGAATACTTGCGCCATATAGCCAACAGTTGATTCGAACATCCCAGTTTATTGCACTTCAAACTTCGATATGTGATCCCAAAGAAGAAAATTTTGTTAAAATATTCAATTAAGACAAAACGGATGAGTGTAACTATCGATCACATTGAGGCCTAGGCTTCCATCACAACACCAGCGAAATAGCTGTTCTGCGAACATGATCACGTAACAGCGCAATATATTGCTAAATATCGATTTGTAGCTTGTTATCTGGGCAATTCGACGAAATATGTGTAATCTGTCATCTGCGAGGATTGTCTCCAAGAAAAAAGCTACTGAAATCCGGTGTCTCGTAATGATGGTTACGTGGTTGTGAGCGTGATGGGGCGTAAGGAGGTGATTCTCAGAAGATTACCTTATTGACATTTTATTCATGTAGTTACTGTCTTCTTTGCTGAACACCATTTGCATCATTGTACTTGACCTGAGATTCGTCTTCTATTATCCTTGATCTATGGCACATATCCCTCAAAGATGACTCGTCATGATATCTGGTATCTTACGTCTGCTTCCTAGCCATTGTGTATTTTTATCCGGTTACTCATCTTGCGGTTAGCTTTGATTTGTTGCCCATCTTTTACGTTCATCACATTGCTCAGTTGTTTCATTAACTCCTAGGAACACAAGTCCAGTTTATACCCGTAGGACTGGGCTAATTTTCGATGGGAACAAAACGTTTTAGTCGCCATAAGGGCTACAGAATGAAGAGCTTCTCTAAGATAACATATTGGCTAATGGTTACTGCCTACGCAAGTTCTGTTAACTGGAGGCATTGCAAAATTGAGTAGTGATTTAATTGAGAGATGATGATGCCAAATGATACAAAAATGTCTGTAATAACTACTCTGATTCATACAAATTGAAAATCGAACTTAAATATGTCTTAGAGGGAATTCGTCTTGTATGGATCAAATGGTAAGGCATCTATTTGCAACGCACTCAAAAAGAAGACTATACCAGGTAGGGATGAGAGACGGAGAGCCACGGGCTTGGCGTTATTGGGTCCGTAATCGATTCAACGTACACATTGTGTCTCTGTACACGGAAAATTCCATATTCATAAAATTATGTTCCAGAATGGACAACAAATTTCGTTTGTCACTTTTGGTCTGGTTGTCATTATACCAGGTGGATTGCGCACCGTCCTCTGCGGTAGCCCGTAACAGCGGATTTGTGTGTAACAGTCGTTCGAGCAAATCCACGATTCCACGACTGAGTCTGGATAACATGGGATGAGTTAATTTGGTAGTGTGTGTACAGTTCCAGAACGCACTACGCTCGGCCAATTGAATGTGAGTAAATGGCCCGACTCCGGTCAACAGCTGATGTGCCATCACACCCACACACCATATATCACGTTCCCAGGTTGGCTGCAACAATTTTTCAACCACACACGCTTCTCTTCCTGTCCGATAGGGACGACCACTGGTGGGGGGCCATTTTTCGGCAATCTGACACACAGAATCAAACAATTCTGGCGGACAGCGATCCAAATCATACACATAAGAAGCACAAATTTTGTTCACCGACGCTCGAATACTCACGTCCAAAACTATGGCAACTGAATTCGGTTCGGCTGATTTAAATAGCACGTCTCGAAAACCCAAATTCCCGTGAAATACTCGGTTTCGATGTAGATAGTCCATACCAATGCAAATATGCTGAATCACTTTACACACAGACCACAAGGTCAGATGGGTTTGATTTGCCAGCCAATTGAACAAATTGCCCTCTGGATGAAATTCAGTGACCACGCTGCATGGGCCAAACAAGCGATAACATATTCCGAGTCGAACAATAGCGGGGTGAGGTCGCAGCCGTTTCAATTGGCTCACTTGGAATGCTATCTTGTCCGCGTATCGTCGACGCAAAGTTGCGGTCAGCCTCGGATCGTTTCGAAACGAACCGATGACCAAATTTTTGATCACCACCGTTTGTTCCGTCGCGGTACGGCAACGGAAGAAAAAGCACAATTCATCCGTACACATGTGGTCAACATAAACAGGATCTTCTAATTGATTGGATCGCTGGAGTGAGGCTATCATGATTGAATTATAAATGATTAATTTGAGGGGCTTCAATGTCTCACCCTTGCACGCGCATTCAAACACACGATCGCGGTCAGCAGATGGGCGAAGTTAAACTGTTGCAATAATGTGATTTCAATTCGCCTGCCTGTTCGAACAGATGCCAACAAAATAGTCGCGATGTACAGCATATATATAGGTATATTCATATGTTTTACGAGTATTTATCACACAAGGCATTGATCACACTCAGAGAAAACAATTCTTCAACATGAGTTGATGATGTTGAAAACATGTTTTGCTAAAAGACACTGATTCTGATAACCGACAGTCTGTTTGAAACGAAAGTTCAGTTTACATTGTGTTCAACACAGTCCATCGAGTCAAAGTGAGCACACACACACACGCACCTACATCCAACGAAGCAGACTTGTGCGTGTAATCTCTTTCGAGTACGTGAATCTGTCATATATGCATTCCGTCTTCGGATTACGCACACAGTAGTGAAATGTAGCGACCGCAGTTAGCAGCAACAGTGAGATTCACAACTCATGTGACGAGAGAGACTTTGCCAAAACTGGTCACGATTCTTGGTGTGGGTGTGCGTACCATTCAATATCATGATGGGGTTGGTTAGTTGCGGGGAACGCCATCATGTTTCTGCTGTCAGCGCCGCATCAAGCTAAGCTTCTATTGTGTCTTGGTAGTAATGGTGATTTTCTGGTGTCGACAACGGAAAAGATGTTTTAGTTTGTATGGTAAAAGATGTCAAATATAATCGAGATTTTATACTATCAAGGAACCTCAATTATAAATGGATGGCATTAGGTCAGTCGACAGATATAACTGATAATTAACAGTTATCAGTTATATCATCGCTGAATCGCCAACATCGTTTTGATTGTAATAATGACAACAATGATAACAATATATATCGTCAGCATCACTATGATCATCATGCTAATGATCATGATCATAATCATTGCAGTAAATATTTGGTCGTCCTTTATTGACTCCTTCCAAATGTGTTCTACAGAGTTCTTGTTGATATATAAATTCTGGTTGGTTGACCTTACCAGGTAAATTCTGCTTGGTTTTACGTGAGTAGCAGAAGCACGTGGCACATCCTAAAGTTCGGGAATGAATGAAAGAACTAGACAGAAGTGAGAGAGGTGGTTCTCCAAATGGGTGACTAAGACTTTAGGATATTACATACTTGGTGGTAGCTAGCTGAATAGGGTTTTCTTTGGGAACCTAGACCGGAGACTTTGACTCAAGCGTCTAACCGATGAAGCAATAAGACATAAATCCAATGCAAAGTGGCGATCGAAGCACTCATGTGGGAAATTCTAGAGAACTGTCACGGAAGTCCATTGGATTTCGGTTTAGTGTTTTGTCCGCTGATGCATTGTTTGATGGTCCATTGATTGTGATCGGTCCTTAGGGTCATGCACCCAAAGAGACTGGCTGAACGTGGAAGTAACAGCACCTTACTGGCTGGCACTTGCGCAGCTTGGGAGAGCGGTAGTTGTCCAAAAATTTCGAAGCCTGCTCTCAACATTCAGAGGAAGCCCAAGATCTGCGGCGTGAGAAGCCCTTCTTTATATCAAGGACGGTCATGGTATCACGCAAACCATCGAACCCCATCAAGGTGAAACCTCGTAGTGTTGATGTTTCAGGATTGGCTCTTAGGTTAATCTTATTGAAGTAACCTTACGAGAAATGACTCCTTTAACCCCAATCCGCAAACTGTCATATTGTATGCTTATGTTACGCAAACGTTACTAAGGAATAAAGCACTTCCATGAAGATTTTATTTTATTGGAGACAGCCCTCAATGAGGAGTCATCACACACACTTCACCAAATCCCCAGATAACTAGCTTCAACTCAGCATTAAGTAAAGCATCACGCTCATAAGTATTCATTTTCACATCCCACCTTCTTAGTTGGAGTTGTAATTGGAGAAATCGTCCCTTTATAACCCTGCACTGCACTCGTCCGTTACGTCTTATTTGGAAATTTGATAATACTCTCATCTTTGCGATCATGTCGATGTTGGAAATGCAATTAACTGTCATATTTGAATCATCGGAATGCTCCAATAGGAATATAAAACGGAGATTCAGAAATTTTCTCTGGTAGGAGAGATGTGAATATAAATTAGCCCTACTATTACAATATTGAGGCTAGACGCAGGTCTACATATTTTCCATATTCCCAAGTTTTCAGAATAACATTTGAACTACTCATGAGTAGATCCATGTCATTTTGGAAAACATCTGAGGTCAACAAAAGCACAAAAAACTATTGATGCAGATGCAACTTGGGGTTTCGAAATAGGGTTAGCATTAACCCCCAAATCTGAATAGCCTTCAAAATTGCAATATAATGTTGCAATGCATCACAACTATATCCTTATTACTGAAAACTGGGATCCCCTATGAGTAAAAGAGAAACATTCTAAAATTATCCGATAACGAAATTATCAGACAGAAAACTTCATTTTATCAATACAGGTATTGACCAAACTCGTGCAACATCCTGATTTTTATTACATTTGTTCCTCTCAATGCTTTATTCTTCCAGTCTCATTCACGGGATTGAATATGCTATTGCCCCACATCGGACGCAACATATATGATAAATATCCACTTATGTCACTGCTTCTATTAGCCACATGCCATTAAAATGTACGATTTCGCGATTTC